CAAAGAAATACATTGTGGGGATGGAGAAGGCTGCAGCAAGTGGTTAAAAACTTCCAGCAATGTGGAATATGGGACATGTACGCTGCAACTAACAGGTTTTTCCTCATCATAGTGTCAGGGTTTCGTGGTACCACAGGAAGAGAATTCAGAGGAGCGTTTAGTGCTCCTAAACTCGCCTATTTTTTTGGCAGGGTGGGAGATGGAGGCTTTGATGCTTTTCTAGAGAAGAACTGTGGTGAGGAACAGGGAAGGTTTAGCTCTTTCCTCGCTCCATCTCTAAAGAAAGCACAGGCAGGAGCTCTCTGAGCAATAAATAAATAGTTTGATGTTGAAGATGCTGCTAGATGTAGTCTGGGCAGACGGAGGGAAATCTGCTTCCTTTCCTATGGTTTTGTGTCTGCTTTTTGTCTGCCCTTTACAGGCAAAAAGGGTCTGTTTGCTCTTGGTAAGTAACCCATGAAATGCAGTACTTCCCTGCCCAGTCTTCAATTTCTAGACGTCTTGCTTTCACCTCCCAGCTCTCAAGCAAAGAATTGCTTCATCAGCATAAATATTGAGCCTGACACAGTCTTAAATGCCTTATTTCCCCTGTAAGTCTCTGGGGAGCTGGAATTCATGCTCTGTGGTTTGCAGGGCTTGTGGGTTGTTGGGGTGGGGGGTTGTTCACAGACCTCCCCAGGTAGATGAGGGCCACAATGTGCAGATCTTGCAGGGAAAGCTTCCAAACTAGGCATTTCTTACCTCTTCCAACCAGTGAGCATCTCAATCAGCTGGTGGTGTTGTGGAACCCTCTGTCACTGGCCCCTCCATGGTCCCCTGCGAAACCTCTGGCTGCAGGTGATGGTGGCTGGTGTCGAAACACAGAATCCCAGACTGGTTTAGGAGATGTGGCAGGCTGTCACTTTATTTGGTGACTGCTGGAGGTTTATTCTGAATGCAGAATACTTTCTTCTCAGAGCAAGTACCTTCAGCCAGAACAAACTCAGACTTCACCTCATCAACCAAATGGATGATGTTGTCTCTTTTTCATGCTGCTCCATTGACTTGAAGAGCTATTCCAGAAGAGCAGTCCCCTGCATCTCAGGCATGTGTGGCAGTAAAACTGCTACATTAAAAGTTCCTTTATTAGGAAATGAAAAGGCTGCAGCGAGCAAGGGATCCCTCTGAAAGCTCTGCTGCAAATACAGGTCAGAAGGACGTCTCTGGAGCTCATGAAGCCTTTCGGGGAATATCCAATAACTGGGTTAATAAAGAGTTCTTGCCATGTAGGGAACAAGATGCATCTCATACACATAAACATTCTCCATAATGAGACTTCTAGACAGCAGCTCCAGCCCATGGTCAGTGTTACCTGAACTGTTGTGTGACAACACACCGAAAACTGGGATCTGAGCCACGTGGAGGGCTCCTGGTTGCTCACTTGCAGTGACCTATTCTATGCAGACAAGCTTGTGAGCTCCTGTTTCTGCTGTAGTAGAAGATGCTTTTGGAGCTTGTGTGGGGTCTGGGAGTGTTAATTTTGGCTTTAGCTGTGGTGTAAGCATATGTGCACATGGGATGCAGTTCCTGGTGGGATGGAGGGGGTGTCACGTACTCCAGACACTTTATTTTAATATAAAATGTGCTTTTTGCTTTTGTGTGAAGGGAGAGAACTATTTCTCTCTTCTGAATTTACCACCCGACTCTGTAGGAAGATCTTTCTGAGCAAGGAAATGCCGTTACACGGCTAACTCAATATCCTGACTGTGCTCGTGGTGATCACCTTATCTCCACGCTGAAACCTGAACCTCCTTCCTGCTGGGCTCTGAGAGGGAGCAAGGATGGGCTCATCCCTTCAGACTCAGCAACTGTCCTCGGTGCTTCTTCTGCCACAGAATAGGTCATAGTCTTCTGCTGATCTGCTTGAGGCAAAACTCAACTGCTCTTTTCTCAGGACTTCTCTATTCAAGAGAAGCAAATCTATGGAGGCAGCTGTCCCTGAGCGTGGTTCAGGGCAGTGGTAGGTGATGCCCAGCTAGGTGGCTGATTTCCAGAGGAGACATATGGGATGTGGGGCTCAGCCCTCCTTGTCCCGGTGCCCTGTTCCAGCTGCTGTTGTATGTAGCCCAAGGACCCACGGCTGTCCTTTGGAAGGGTCTGCAGCAGCTCTGGAGCTCTCCATTTACAAAAGGGACTTTGCACAGAAATGCTTTATTCAGCAAAAAAATGCAGAGACAGGCTGCCTTGGTTTTCTTAAATCAATTTTTTTTTTGCTGTTCTTATGGGTTTCTGTAGATGTTGTGAGGTTGGTGTGTTAATGCATTAACCCCTTCTGCTCCCTTCTACATCTTTATGGCATCTGTCTGGCAGAGGAGCCTTTGAATGTATTTATTTATTTTATTTTTTCTTCTCTGATCAGTCTGTGGAGACTTTATCATTCCTAGTCATTAGAAAAGATTATTTGTCAGCCCCGAGGATGCTGCTCTGATCCAGTGACTAAAAGACACCCAAGCAAATTACTGCACCTGGTGTAGCACCGAGTGCTGCTATGTTGTAAGCTTCCTCAATGGCTTCCACAATAAATACTACTGGCCTCACATTAAATCTTAAATACTAGTTTTTCCCCTTGGCTCATCAGCACCAGCTGGCATTTCTCCATTAGCCATCCTTTCTGTCTCTCTGCTTTAGTGTACGTCGTAAACTTGGAATTAATTGCTGCTTCTTCTTTTAGAAATATAGTGAAATTCTCATTCTCTCTCTTTCTCCTCCTCTCTCTCCCCCACCACCTTAGGGTTTATTTCTAAAGATTCTGGGCTTTCCATACTCTCAAAGCCTTTCTGTTGCTCTCCTACAGCATTTCCAACAAGAACATTTGTCCAGTACCATTGATCTGCTGATCCCTTTACCCTCCTTCCCCTGTTGCACCTTTCTGCCTCCCTTTCTTTTACAAGCTGACCTGCAGAACTGAAATAATCTTCTGAGCATTACCTCCTCCTTCCACCCTGGCTCTTCTAGCACAGAGTAATATGAAAGCAAAGTTTTTGAAGAGAGATCAAACATTGATTCCATACTTGGAAGCCAATGAGATACTTTTTATTTATTTAATTATTTAGTCATTCTTGAAGTAGATACTTGCAAGTTATTTGGCAAAAGAAATATTCCTGTGCCTTGAGAAGGCATCTTCTGTTCTGAAGCTGGCAGTGTGCAGAGGAGAAGAGAGAGCCTCTAATTTTACCGGTCTAGCCCATGAATCATGTGCATGTGGCCCATGACCACATCAGAGTGCATTAAGCACCCTCTGTGCAGAGGGGAATACAGAGCATCAATTTACCAGTGGAGCCTCCAGTTTAAAGCTATGCATTATATTTATTGATAGCTCACTCTGAAAGAGTGAATGCCATTTAAATGGGTTTGGTAATCTACCGAGTAAATCAGTAGGAGCTCTTTTAGATGTAGAGTTTTTTTCATGTTTCTTAATAGTCTGAATGCCTCTAAAGTATTTCTTGTGGTAATGATGGTTATGTGAGCAATATTTCAGTAGCCTGTATCTAACACCGCTCATGGCTGTGCTATAGAGCCAGAGAAGTGATAGCTGTAAGGTCTCTTTGGAAAATCTATAATGAAGATGAGCAATGCCACCAGTTTGCCTTAACCATGATAAAGCTTCCCCATTTCTGGTGTTGGAGTAATTAATAATGACCAGTATGTTCATTTTACAAATTGGCTGTCCCATGGCTCTACAGCAGGACAGATGTTCACAGACTTTCCGGGTGCTCTGGGAAAGGCAACTCTTAGTGAATGCCATCTCGATTATGAGACTACCTGTGAGTGTGGAATGTATCTACAGAGGTTGCCTGTTGCTTAATTTGCTGTGCTAGAGGATCTAGGTCTTCTAACTCATCTGACATAATGAGGTAACAAATGTATAACTACAGAAATGTACTTAAAGCTTGCTAAGATCAAAACAGTTGAGGTCTAGTGAACAGAAAGCAATTTAAATAGTCAAGAGCTTAATCTGTAGCACAGAAGCAGTTAAAATATCATTTTACTAGGTTTGTGTCCAACAACTCAATTCTGCAATGGCACAAAACTATGTTTACTCGAGCTTACATCCAATTTATCATACTTCTACTGTTCTAAGAATGATGCTCTTGCCGCAGCGCTGCTGCAGGAAGGCTGCCACAAACTGGTCCTTGGTCAGGACAGTGGAATAGTTTTCCCATTATAATTGCAAAATGCAAACACCTGATGTGTAAGACCATCTAACAACCCATCTAAATAACACTGTAAATGACTCTTGCTCTGTGTCTATTGACTTTGCAGCTTCATGACATTCAAGTTGTGAAGGAAAAGCTTACCAAGGAGGTCAGCCCCGCTCTGCTTTAGCCTTGGCAATTTGCTGAGTCTTGTACTAAGGCTGCAAACATACAAACATCCCAAAATGTTCTTATTCTTGGCTGGAAAGTTTAATTCCTGAACTTCCCTCTCACCTTGCCAAAAATCAAACTTTTCTCTTCTTCTACTCAAGCAGATCTAACTGGACTCTTAAATGACTTAAAATCCCTCTGATGACTTCTCCTCTATCCACAGAAATGGACAACCTTCAGCTGTCTGGCAGATGTGACAGCTACAGGAGCTGTTGTGTCTTTTTCTAAGCCCTGTGGAGGTGGTGGTGGTTGATTTGGTCTTGATTATGATCAACAGATTAGCTGCATGTTGAAGAGCTAGTCTTTCTTTTGGTTGGGTTGAGAGGTGAGGAAGCTTGTATGATGGTTGTCCATACTATACTGACACTAACCAGTTAACCTACATACAATGCTGAGAGTTGATGATGGTTTTGGAGACCAGCCAGCAAGAATATGCTCACTCATCTCTGGAAAATCATGACTTTAAATCTACTTTTGGCCTGTGCTTGAGGTGCAGCAGCGCAGGTGAACACGTTCACTCTGAATAGAGCAGTGGGTTTGTTGGCTCTGTGGATTTGTTCCAAAATAAGTGATGTTGGCTTTGGTTTTGTTGTACTTGAAGGTGCCTCATCACCAGACATGGAGTCCAGCTATGGGGGAGGCTTGCTAGATATGGTGAAAGGAGGAGCAGGGAGACTCTTCAGCAATTTGAAGGATAACCTGAAGGATACCCTGAAAGATACATCTTCAAAGGTCATGCAGTCTGTTGCCAGGTACAGTACAGCCGAAGCTGTGTAACGCAGGTAAAATCACTAGCTGCAAAGTGCCGGTCTGAGCTGCCATCTGAACTAGCACAGCACAACTTCCAGCTAACTGAATGAAGGAAGGAGGTGAAAAACACAAGGGATTTCTTTGATTCTGTCTCATAATTGGTATTTGGCTCCAAGGAAGAGGGGAAACCAAAGTAAAAAAATCTAAGCTTCATAGTGAGTGAGCATCAATGTCCTGAAATCTCTAAAAGGCCCCCACAGTGAAAGTGGAGCTCTCGGTCTCCGTTTCCTTCATTGACCCCCGTGGAGTCCTTCTACTCAGCCACCACTAAAATATTTTGTCACTGAAAACTGGCTCATGTTGGATGCCTTCCCTTTGCTGTCCAAGGAGAATCTTGCTGATGCAACGGTTCCCTTCGCCATAGCCACCTTTGGAGTAGAAGAAAGAGCTGAGGTGACTTTGCTTTGGTTACCTCTGCTGGTGTTGGCACTCTACCTGCCTCTGGGCAATGTGGGGCTATGATAAATTAAAGAAACTTAATTCAGGCAAGACCTCTGAGGCTTTGAGGGATCTGCAAAGTGGCAAACTGCTAGAGGTTTCTGCTGAAAACTGGCACTGAAAATTAATGACTAAAGGGAAAAGGGACCTTTTTTACAAGGTTCTGCATCCAGTTAATTGTGTATGTGGAAGGGGAATGCTGGGTCACTGTCTGCAGGAAGGTATTTGCAACCTCTTCTTAAAGCATAATGGTAAAGTACAGAGAATCAGTTTAAAGATCATTCTTTTCTTGTGTCAAAAGCAGATCTTTCCGTGCAAACACTCTTCTGGTTCCTGTAAAGGGCTGTCTTCTGTAAATAGGTGTGTAACATCTGTCTCCTGCTTTGTCTTTTTAGTTACACCAAGGGAGAGCTAGATATTTCATACATTACCTCAAGAATCATAGGTAAGCGCTGCTTATTGGATAAATAAAACTTACAGTATCCCAGGCTTCAGAAGTCCATAGACATGTTATGGTGCATGCTCAGCCTGGCTTCTTCTTACCTTTCTAGTGATGTCTTTTCCGGCTGAAGGCGTTGAGCTGGGATTCAGGAACCACATTGAAGATGTACGGACGTTTTTGGATTCCAGACATCCTGACCACTACACCGTCTTCAACTTGTCACCCAAGTATTATCGCAGTGCCAAGTTCCACAACCGGGTGAGTGTCTTCTGAGAGCTTAGTGAGATCGGGGGGTGAAACTTCTTGGGCAAAGGGACACCAGATCCTGGTTCTGTCTATCCTGAGAATGGCAAAATGTAAGAAGATAAAAAAGGAATGATGGGTGTTTCTAAGCTGCTGTGGTCGTTCCTGGGTTGTAGTTGATGCCTGGGGCCATGGGGATTGAAGAGTTGGAAAGTTCAGGGCATAATGCTTGTATTAGCAGCCTGTGAGAGTACATGGCACGGCTCTAAGTTGAGCCTGTGCTGCTCTTTGCTCCTCCATAGCTGTCAGAAGCTCCTGCAGAGAAATAAGGAGTAAAATGAAAGTGCTTTGAAACAAATTACCAATAAAAGAAGGTAGATTATTTTCATGTTGAACAATCCTTCAGTTGTGCTTTCATCAAGCAGGAGCCCTTAGCAGGGAAAGCACAGGGTGGGAAACTGGATTGAAGGGGCATTTTGGCTCTTCCACTAGTGTATGACTTTGAAAACCCACCTGCATTCTCTGCCCCAGTTTCCTTCTCTAAAACCAGAACAGCATACGGGAGCGTTGCAGGGCTTCTTCTTTAATGGCTTTTAGAGGAAATCTCTATGATAAATACAGCTGTTGAAATGCAAGATTGGATCAGAAGTTTCAGAAAACTTCCTATTCTTTCCCTTTCCCACAAAAGTGATGACTTTTTCTTTTCTTTTTTTTTTTTTTTTTTTTTTTAAATTTCTTGGTTTTGTTGCCTTCAACCTAAAAGGCAACAGCAGTTGCCAGGCATAACCCTTGGTCAGGGTAAGCAAATCTCATGCTGCATAAGCTTAATTTCATTTTAATTAGAGATACAGCCAAACCTATCTTCAGCAATTGCTCTGATCACCAGAAATCACTCAACTTGCTCTCAAAGCACATTTCTCTGTGGCAATCAGTAACCAGCCACGACTTCAAATATGAGTAAATGAATGGGAAAGACTAATTAAAAGATATCAAGGGCTCTAAATCTTCAGTATTGAGGTTCTGGTGCATCACTGTTGCTGTTGGTGGGAGGAGAAAGACAGATCTACTCTTGAAAGCCCAGCATTAAACATCTGTTGGTATATTGCTTGAGCTGGCTGTAAGTCCTCTGTCCCTGGTGCTTTATCTCCTACCTTATCCAACAGCTTGATAGGTGACTGTGTGTCACTCTCAAAGCATGACTGGGTGCTTTGTAAGCTATTGCTTTGGCACACGCAGGTAGAAAATGATGCATCTTTTTATTAAAATATTGTACTTTTGGGTTATGGTTTGAGGAAATATGGACTCCAGGTATTTTTCAGGAAAATGAAATATGCAGAACAGAATTCTTAAGATCAGATGAAATTGAAACAATTATAAATATGAGATTGACCTTCATACGTATTGAAAAAAATACTAGTGGGCTATCAAGGAGGTGAAATCGCATTAAGAGCATTTTCTGGATGAAGATGCCACGAGCTGACTTTTTGAGACGTGCACTTGTTCTTTGAAATAAAAGGCTTTTTAACTCCTCTAGCTTCTTTAAAATGTTTTTTTTTTTTCCTAAGACCAAAGTAGGTCGCTTTGCATAGTGGCACAGGAGGGAGATGACAGTTAATGTCCGCCTGGGCCATTTTCCTGCTCCGATGTGGCTTTGTGGGGCCATCAGAATTATATTATTAAGAGCTGCTACTCAATAATATATTATTATTATACTATTAAGAGTTGCTGCTCAAATCTGATGGTGCTCGGTTCACCTCCCTGCCTCGTTGCCCTGGCAGGAGAGGAGAGGAGAGCTCATGGCTACTCAAGGAAGTATGAGCAGTTTGAAAACATATAACTCAAATATAACGTTAAACAAAACCAAACTTCAAGGTCCCTGATGGGTCCCATCCTTGGCTGTTGCTGCCCTACTGCTAAAGTACAAGGAGCACTGGCTGCTTATTTCCAAAGCTCTACTGTTACTTTTCTCTAAGGCTGCCTTTCATGAGTGGTGGTGAGGTGATGCTTGCAATAAATGAGATGCTACATAGCACATATTTAATTTCCTAATTGCAAACCAGCAGGCAAATGTGTAATTATAGGCAAAGTAAATATATAATTATGGACTGTTAGGGAACATATATTATTTACTTGATAAGTGATAATGGCTTTTCCAGATGCTTGATGGTGTCATGAGGTTGTTCAGTGTCGTGAGGTCTGTTCAGAAGATTGTCAGTGAAAGGATCACTGGTCATATTAATTTTAACAGCCATTTAGAATCTGGATTGTGTTTTAGTGATCTAATTGCAAGTGGATCTTGTGCCTCCAGAAACTTGCTGTAAAAGTATTTGGGGTTGGGAGGAGAAGATATAAAAATAATAAAGTAATTGGTGTGATAGATAATATAAAATAATGTCATATATGGTATCAGTACTCTGGCTTTATTAAAGAATTGAATAAATGTTTATGATCACTCTGTAATTGAGGTTTTACAATGGCAAAGGAAAATCAAGTGTCTACAACAGGAGCAATGAGATAAATTACAGCTCTCGAGACAGGAGAAGATGGGGATGAGGACAATGCTGCAGAGAGGGTAAATGGAGAATGGCCACTCACTGCCTCCCAAAGCTTAAGCACGGACTGACTTGTTGGGTGGCTTCTACAACGCAACACCGAGTGCACGTTGATGAATTTCAGCACGTTGTGAAGATCAAAAAACTTTAATTAGAGTCTAAAAAGCAATTAGGCAAATATCTAATTAGATATTGGATTAGACAAAAACCTCCCCAATGTTAAGCAGAGGTCTGCCAGCTCAGGCAGGCTGACCAGGACAGATGCTCTGGGTTAGGCAGTGCTTGCTCTGACCCCGTGTCCTCTGGGTGTCATTGGAGCTGGAAGTTCTCCGGTTTGAGGCAGGATTCCTGTTTCTGCTCTAAGATGCTGTGCAGGTGTATGTAAGAGAGAACCTTAAATAGAAGTTTTATGAAACCTGGAGCATTTCCTTCCTCTGGGAGATGAAATGGTCAGGTATGGAAATCATATGGCAATTGAAGAACATCTGGTCAAACCATCTCCTTCCTGCCCCCGCTTCTCATTAAGCAAGATCCAAATGCCAGCCTGGAGGAGAGGGAGAACCAGTTCTTTGGCTGAGGACAAGCCTCATGGTGTTTCTCCTTTAAATTTCTTCTAGCCAGAAATGCCTTTATAAAAAAGATATTTCAATTAAAGCTAGATGAAACAGAGATGTCTGTAGAAGGCTATTTGATGTGCTGTTTGAGATGGCAAGAACCGTTCTTGAGATAAGTGTTATGATTCAGAACTAGTACATTGATGAATAGTAACCAGACATACTTTAGAATTTGTGGTTTTTCAGCTCCAAGTCGTCGTTCATTTTTCTGGCTTATCTTAACTATGCTTACTCAGATATGATGGGGTGGTTTTTTAACAGAAGATTCCTTTTCATCCGTCTAATTCTGTCAAATAGGGCTTGAAAATCCTATGACACAAAATGACTGAGAATAACAGATGCTCAGTGTCCTTTGAAAGTCAGAGATGTAGTTTTTAGGGGACAAGTTGTACGAAGGCTTTGGAGACAGCAGAAATCAACATGCTGCTGCATGACCTTATGAAAGGCCACTCAACAGAATCTGACTTGGAATGTAAATTTTTCAAAATGTGTAGTCAGTAGCAATACACCAATATTATGGTGTAATATTACCATTAATATCTCCAGGGACCTGGAGCAGCTAGAACAAGTCCAGAGGAGGCCACCAGGATGATGCAAGGGCTGGAGCAGCTCTCCTATGAAGACAGGCTGAGAGAGTTGGGGCTGTTCAGCCTGGAGAAGAGAAGGCTCCGGGGAGACCTTCTAGTGGCCTCCCAGTACCTGAAGGGGCTCCAGGAAGGGTGGGGAGGGACTTTTCATAAGGGCAGTTAATGACAAAACAAGGGGAAATGGGTTTAAGATGAAAGAGGGGAGGTTTAGATGAGATATTAGGAAGAAGTTCTTCACTGTGAGGGTGGTGAGACAGTGTCCCAGGTTGGCCAGAGAAGCTGTGGCTGCTCCTCCCTGGAAGTGTTCGCGGCCAGGCTGGATGAGGCTTTGAGCAACCTGGTCTAGTGGAAGGTGTCCCTGCTGATGGCAGGGGGGTTGGAACTAGATGATCCTTAAGGTCCCTTCCAACCCAAACCATTCTATGATTCTATAATATTATGTTATTTAATTGAGAATTCTTTTTAGTTTGTCTCCTCATAATTCATGAAAGTCACAGACCAGAATTATGTACGAGAAGAGATGGAGTAGGTTTCAAGCACGTAATGCTAGGTTGTAAAAGAGAAGTAAACATTTCTTGGCAGAAAGCATTTGTAAAAGCACCACTTGCTTACTGCTCTTACAAGGCTGGCTTTTGTTCATCCTGTGATTCCTGTAGGTATCTGAATGTAGCTGGCCAGTACGACAAGCACCCAGTCTGCACAACCTCTACGCCGTCTGTAAGAACATGCACAACTGGCTACAGCAGAACCCCAAAAACGTGTGTGTCATCCACTGCATGGTAAGTACATCAGAAAGTCACCCAATTTTTAGACCTATTGAGTCGTAAGTTGTATTGCACGTTACGTGGCTGGAGCCTGTTTACAAAGATGGTGACAATTGCTAAAAGAAAACCCCCATAGAAAAGGGTTTCATCAGCCACATAGCTGAGCTGGAAGACCTAACACTGAG